AAAAAAAAAAAAAAAAAAATTGCCTTATATGCCTTGTCTTGTGTCTCTGGAATTGGTGGGTCTTCAGTATACTACAACCTAAACCGTGTCCCTTCACATTCATTCTGTTTGTCAGTTGTGTGCGCCTGCTCCAGCCAAGCCAACTGACATCAACGTTGGCCCCTCTGGCTGTGTCCACACAAACAGTTTTCAGCACCTAAAAGCCTTTTGAGGCACCACAAAATGCACACAGCTCATGTTAATTCATTTGGGACACTGAATATTTTGTGCTGCTGCTATTTGTCCCCAGGCAAACGCACATTCCTGCTTGTGGGGGACACGTCCTCTGGGGCCATCAGCTACATACCAAATTTGTCAGTCTCCTAACAGGATATTACATACATAAATGATTGAGGATAGGAAGTAATTGAAACTCTACAAAATAATTTTTCAAATTTGTTTGTTTAGCACTAAAGAACATGTTTTTCAAAAATATGTGTGACAAAACAGGTAAGCCTGCACACAAAATATGCAGCTGCATCCAGGGTAAGAATAATAATAATAATAATAATAATAGACTGATTGTATAGGTATCCCCATGTATTCTCAAGTATATCATTTGTGCACTAGATTACTTATTTGCATGTGAACAAAATGTGCAATACTTTGGTATTAAGTTCTGAAAATATGGACCAAAATAGTTTGTTTTTTACTGAGATAAAGCGGGAGTCAGTTTTCATTAGAACCTAAATCAATGTGGACTAAAAATAAGTGTAATATTGGAGTGATGGCTCTCATGGTATATTTTCTAGTTTTGTTGTTTTCAACTCATACATTTTTCTTGCTAGTGTACAGCATCTTTATAGAGAGACTTTTGAATTCTCGTAATACCTGTAATGTTTTCCCAGAGGCCTTGTAGTAAAGAGGTTTCCAGGGACCGCAGTGTGCAATTTTAAAACTAGGCCATATCCAAGTGACAGGTCCCCTGAAAAGATGGACACATTTGACAGCGTTTCAAACAAAGGTACTTTTGCATTTGGCTGTGAAGCCATGGTGCACTAGAAAAACAGATTTCTAATTGGACCTTAGTTACAGCCTTGGGGTTAAATTGTTCTTTGATACCTTGCAGAGCGTGGGGTTTCTCCAAAAATTAAAAAAAAATCATAAATGCTTTAGAAGTTGGTGATTTAGGCTTTAATAACATGGTACAGTTTCTTTATATGCCTGCTCACTGATAATAACTGAACTTCACCATCCTATTGTGAGGTAAGTAGTTAACAGAAGTTTGTAAAGGACTTTGACAGAGCCCCCTGGATAAGAAAAGTGTTAGAAGCACAAAGCTTTTAAGTTTTTCTTTTCTTCATTGCTCTTCTCTGCAGAACCCAGAGACAAAGTGTCTGGTACTGGCATACAAGCCTGTGAAAACTGTGGGCAAATGGACTGCTTTGAGACTGACAAGTTTTGCACCTGCTCCCAGCAGCATAAGGACAAGTAAGCAAATCTCACATTCTTTTAAGTTTAATAATATTTTAAATTGAGGTGAATTGAGCATCTGCATGAGAAAGCAATGACAGGAGCAAAATCAATAGACCAGGGTACAATCAGAGCACTGGCAGAAACAGTGCCAGTTTACAGTGCCCTGCAGATGGTCCTCATCCTCTTGTTGAGGCGCCACCTGAAAGGATGAGAAGAGACTGCTTTCCAGGATCTCAGTCCTTGGCCTGACAGCTGAGGCTGCCACCAAGGAGACTGCTTTGTGCCAACTGTCCAAGTCAGACTGCTGCTACTGTCCGGCCTGTACCTACTGAGCAGATAAATGAAGGATTTAAGCTTCTAGGTCTACTTGTCTGGCATGTCTCATTAGGTGGAATAGTCTGATGTTTAGAGGACACTAGCCTAGGACATGAGAAACCTGGATTCAACTTAGTGATCTGTTACAAACTATCTGTATGAGCTTGGACAAGTCATTTAGCTTCTCCGTGCCTCAGTGTCCCATTTAACAATAAGACTCATATAATAATACGTTCCTGTCTTTCAGGATATACTTTGCTAAGATAAATGCATTAAAGGCTGTGAGATGCACAGACACTATGGTAATGAGGGCTACATAAGTACCTAGGATAGAAAATCTGGTGCTTCTCACAACAATAAACATACTTATCCTTTTCCCAGGTACCTTTCCCTTGCCATCTCTGTGCTGGTTGTAATTTTTAGTTTAATTTGAAATGGTGGGTTTTTGCAGGAATTCCAAAGACATCCCAGCTGACTGCAGAAACCGAATAAATAACAGAAACCTTAATGCCAGCACTGATTCTCAGGTTAACGAGGCCGACAGACCTCTCAAGCGGCTCCGAAGAAAGAGAAAACTGCTTCTGGACTCTGAGGATGATGATGAAAATGTAGATGATGAGGAGGCATACAAGGTTGGCATGCATTTTGTTTAAAGGGAATTGTAATGAATAAGGTATCTCCTGTAGATCATGTCGATACAGTGAAAACCCAAACCAGAAACACGGGGGCTGCATGCAGGCTGCTTGATTTTTCAGAATTGCATCTGATCTTATTACGTGGGTGTAAATTTGAAATATCTTTACTGAATTCAATGGAGTTAGGTTAGTGAAAAGTTGACATGAGGTCAAAATTCAGTCTGAAGCCTGTAATTTGCCCATACCTATAATTTATGTGTATTATGCCAAAGAAGTAGAGAGTCCTTTACAGTAATAAAAATACACACAGCAAGTTTTTTATCCCCAGGCATACAACCTAAAGCCACAATCCAGAACACTATGTTATATGAATACATGTAATAGACAGTGGAACTTTGAATTAATTGTTAGCACATACTATAGATATAGATATAATCTGCCAAACTTACTGTATATTAAAGTCACTAGAGGCCTGTATTAATGTTGAATAAACAAAATTTTCTTGATAGTCATAGGAACCCAGTCTTTTCTTAGCTCTGAGTAAGCATTTTACCCTCTTTAGGGCTACATTATTTGAACAGTCCATATTCTGCTACCAGACATGCAGGCTCCCAGGACTGAAGCTGATCAGTGTTTTTTTGTATTTGGATATTGCACTGGTTTGTTTAACACCGATGGTTTTTGGTGGTGGAGGCTGAAGTTTCTAACACGTACAGTATAATTCATCCTATTGTGCACATTTGGCTATGAGGTTGAATGCAAGACATCAAAACTACTTTTCTTTCTACATCTTTTCCTTTCTCTTTTCCTCCCCACAAATTCAAAAAAGAAAAAAAAAGTTTCCCAAGAGGATTGTGGGCATGTTTGGGCAGGTAACTCTGCATTTCAGGTTTTGCCCCTGTTACAAGAATGGCAACCATGAGTAAACTAACACTGGTCTGAAAACCACAAAGAAGAAGTGGTAACAGCCATCTGATACAAGCTGGGACACTGAAAGATGAAATACAATCTCTAGAGTTGCTTCTATAACAGCAATTAACTGGAGCTTCTACTTCCTTCAGTGGTTGGTAAAACGATTCCTCTCCATAGATCGATGTACTCGCCAAGATGGATGCAACTATGCATGAATAGAATACTAGCATAGTAATGAGGAGGCCACGTTCTTCAGTTAGATGTGGTATCTTTTACTAGACCAACTGAGTAGTTGGAAAAAAGTTCTTAGCAAGCTTTTGGGCACAAACACCCTTCTTCAGGCATAGGGAGTCTCTGCTGTTCTGAGATCTTCAAGGAATGAAAGAAGCTAAATATGTGACAGGTCAGTGAGATTGTAAATAACTGGAAATTAGGAAACCAATGGGGAGGGGAGGGAGGGAGGAAAAGAAGGGGGGGGGGGGGAATCCAAAGGTGGTGAGTAAGGGGCCTCTACAGTAATAGTAATTCAAGGTAGAAAAGAGGCTTGCGAAAAAGGAAATAACTGGAAATTAGGAAGACAAAGGGCTGAAAAGTAGGGGAGGGGAGAAAGGGAGGAGGGAAAGAAAAGTGTAAGAGGTCAGGTTTGGTACCTGGTGAATCAGATGTCAGGCAGGTTGTAATGTGTCATAAATCCAATATCTATATTGAGTCCATGATTTTTTTTTTAACCTAGTAGATTTATGAAGTGAAGTTTGTAGGCTCGTCTGTGAAGGGTGTTTTGTAAGCTCCCTTTGCGTATTAGAACCGAGAGATAGGAGAGGGAGTGATTGTCCTCTGAGAAGTGTGCACCCAAAGTTAATTAGGTATTCTTGTCTTTGATAGATTTTCGGTGCTAGTTCATTCTGGTACACAGGTATTGTTTGGTGTCCCTTACATATTTTCTGTTAGGGCATTTGGTGCATTGGGTGAGATAGATAACATTTGTGGAGGTGCAGATGTAAGATCCAGGAATGGTGATGGTTCTGTTGTGGGGTGTAGTTATTGTGGGGGTGGTGGTGATGTGTTGGCAGATTGTGCGTTTCTTGTTCTGGCATGATCTGGATCCATTACGTGTGGTTTAGGTCAAAGGGAGTTTGCTTTTGGTGATGAGGTTAGTGAGGTTTGGTGCTTGGTAAAAGGCCAGGATGGGTGGTTCTGGAAATTATCTCTTTTAAGAATTGAGCCTTCTTCTAGTGTGGATTGCAGTTGTTTGAGGATTTTCCATGTAGGTTCCAGGGAAGGGTGATGTGTCATAACCAGTGGTGTGAGATTTGTGGGGATTTTCTTTTTGTACTGCAACAAATCTTCACGTGGTATCCGGGTGGCTCTTTCAAAAGTGCAGTCTATCACTCTGGAGGAGTATCATTGTTGGGTGAAGGCCCTTTTGAGATTTGTGAGGTGGCAATCACGAGTATTCTCCTCAATGAAAATTCAGTGGTATTTGAGAACTTGGCTGTAAATTACTGCTTTCTTGGTGCGTTTAGGGTGATTGCTGGTTCTGTGTAGATATTAGGGCCGTATTCGATTCGGATTCGACCTGAATCGGGGACAGCAACTCGATTCAAGTCAGCCAAATCTGAAGAGTCAGTACTGATTCGGAGAATCAGCGATTCGGCCACACGCACAGCTTGAAACGTTTTTTCTACATACCTCGATGTACCAGGCATGGCTCATGAATGCAGCGATGCTGGGGTGGATGGAGCATCCCACAGGAACACAGGGGTGGGGCCCACATGCTTGGCTGTAAACCCAGAAGTGGACCGGAAGTACTCCCGGTCCACTTCTGGGTCTGCCGGGGAGTGTGGTGGGGGGCTGGCCCCCCTGTACCCCTGGTTTGGCGATTGACTGTGGGGGGACCCCATTGCCGAACCGGGGGGAGGATGTGGTGGGGGGGAGGGCCAGTGTGCTCTGTAGCGGACCCGGAAGTGCTTCTGGTCCACTTCTGGGTCTGCTGCTGAGTGCACTGGGGAACCCCCCACACTTCTGTGGGACCCTCCATGTGCCCCAGCGTCTTAGCATTCACAAGCTGCCTGGTACCTAGAAGAGTCTGTGTCTGTTAAAGCTGTGTCTGTCTGAATCACCGAATCTTTCCGAATGTCTCTGAATCGATTCGAAGGGTTCTGATTCAGTTCGGAGAGATTAAAGGGTATCTTGATTCGGATTTAGAGATTTGGCCACTGAATTGGACCAAATCTCCACCAAATTGAATCGGGGACTGAAGCTTCGCAGAGCCCTAGTAGACGTGTGTTGGTCCATGGGTTTCTTATGTATGGTGGTTTGAATTTTACCATTTTGGGTATTGATCATGGTGTCCAAAAAGAAAATGCTGGAGGTAGAGTATTCAAGCAGTAGTCCAATGGAGGAGTGATGACTGTTGAATTTTTGGTGGAAATCAATTGGACACTGCAGGGTTTCAGTCCAAATAATGATGTCATTATGTATCTTAGGTATAGTGAGGGTTTGATGGTGCAGTTCTTCAGGAATTCTTCTTCTTAGTGGGCCATAAAAAGCTTGACATATTGGGGGGGCATTTTGGTGCCCATAATTGTGCCCATGGTCTGGAAGGAAGTGTTGGTTCTTGAAACTGAGCTTGTTGTGTGTGAGGCATAAATATACGAATTCAGTGATATCCTGAGGTCTGTACTCTGAGTTGTAATCTCATTCTTGTAGATATGTGAGGCAGGCTTGGATGCCATCCTGGTGTGGGAAGTTATTGTATAAACTAGTAATATCCATGGTGGCTGGGAGGGTATGGCTGGGAAGGTGATCTATGTTCTCAAGTGTTCGCAGGAAGTCTGAGTCTTGGATGACTCTCGGTCTTTGAGTGATGAGCGGTTTTTAGATGGAGTCAATGAAACCTGATATTTCTTCTGTTAGGGTTCTGTTGTTTGAAATGATAGGTCTGCCGGGGTTTCCTTAGTTGTGGATTTTAGGGAACGGGTAAAAAGTCCGCGGATTGCATAGTGGAGGGATCAGGGTCTGAAGTTTTTCTTGTAGTTCAGATGGAAATGATGTGAATGGTGGTTTTGAGTTTTGAGCTGAAAAGGGGGGTTGGATCTTCCTCTAGTTTTTTATAGTAGGTAGTGTCAGAGAGTTGTCTGTTGGCATCTTTTATGTAGTCCTCATGGTCAAGGATAACTGTAGCTTCTCCTTTATCTGCTGGCTTTATTACTATTTAGTGGTTGGATCTTACAGATTCTGTGGCCCTTCTGTCTGAGAAGGAGGTTGTTAATAGTGGTGTTTGTTGTTGAGTATTTCATTGCTCATTCTTTCTCTGAAGTAGTCAGTGTAGCAGTTGAGGTTTGAATTTCATCCACTGTAAGGTGTCCAATCTGAGGGGTTTTTGGATTTTTTGACGTTGTGGTTTTTTTTTTTGTTTGTTTTCATTGATGTTGTCACCAGATGAATTCACGTTGAAAGTGGATTACTTTTGGTTGTGGAAATATTGCTTCAGACGGAGGAGTTGGAAAAAATCTTCTAGTTCTCCACATAGTAGTATCTTATTTGGGTTTTTCTGGACAGAAATTAAGGCCTTTGGAGAGGACAGATTTTTCAGCTTTGGTAAGTGTGTGCGTGGAGAGAGTGGTAATATTAGAGGTTGGATGGTTCCTTCTGTTTCATCAAGTGTGATGTTGGGATGTTGTACGGTAGTGGTGGTGTTCTCCTGAGGGTTGTTTTGTGGCTGGGAAAGTTGATCCTGTAGTAACTGGTTCCAGTTCTTCTTTTTGTGTTGGATGGATGGTGTAATAAATTTTTGGTAGTCTTTTTGTGTATGTTGTATAATGTTTGGGAAGGTATCCGGATTCAAACCCTGTAGCATAGTAATGAGATGTGCAGCCCACATAAGCAACCTTGCAGTCCTGTATTGCACCAGGATGATGTGCTTAAGTAAGCCTTAAGTGGTATACATGAAATAATTTTTAAAGCAGTTTGGGAGCTTTTGAGATAGAAGTTATATAAATAAATTAATAAAAATAGGGAGCTACTTAAATTGTGGTTTTGTGGATACTGTGAAATCTGGGGTTGCCTGCCTAATCCAGGGTTGCTCATGAAATCTGCAGGGAACAAAACTTAATAAAAACCTATTTTTATTAAGTGTTCCCCTTAAGGCAGGGGCGGGCAATTATTTTGGGCCGAGGGCCGCTTACTGAGTTTCGGCAAGCCATCAAGGGCCACATGACAGGCAGCCCAGGGCAGACTAATATTAATTTTCTAAATTTTTTAGGGGCCCCACAGGCCGGATAGAATGGCCTGGCAGGCCACATGCAGCCCACGGCCCGCATCTTGCCCACCCCTGCCTTAACGCATGAAGGGGACACCAGCCAAGATGGCAGCTGTCCCTCTTTATTCCCCCCCTGGAATCTCTCTGCCAATCAGTGCTGAGAGGCGGGGCCAGACAAAGGGCAGCCAGCAGTCAAGATGGCGACTGCCCCCCTTCCTCCTCGCTCCCAGGGCCTCTCTGCCAGTCAGTTTTGAGGGGTGGGGCCTCTCTGCCAATCAGCTGTGAGGGGCAGGGCCACTGTTAAATACCCGCAAAATGGGCTCTTTATGCCAGGACAAAGCTGTGAAAATGGCTTTGTTTTGCCACGAGTTAAGTAGGTCCCTGTGTATAATGCTCCCATGGGGCAGAAACAATGCCAGTTAATATTTCTGTTAATTTATATGTTACATATTTTTCATTTCTCAGGGCAGATATGGTCAGTCAAGGAGGAAACAACAATATTGCTAATTTTTTTTAACGTCTCTTTTTCTAGGAGAAGAATAAATCAAATAATATGAAAAACCGCAGAAACACCAAACCAGTAAAACAAGGTGAGTTAAACTCCTGGTCTCTCTCCTGTTAACGTTCACAAACTGTACTAGCTATTACAAAATGGATAAGAGTAAACAAAGAAGGCAAGGACAGAGTAGTGCATTACACATTCAGAATAATACAGCTAACATTTATTAGGTACGTATCCTTCTTCCCATATATCAACCTTCGACAACATCTAAGAGTATCCCAGGCTTTTGCCTCCTTGATCAGCACATTTAATGGAACTTGAAAGAGGTGGCCTGACCCATTGAAATCAATAGGAGTCTCTTTCCATTGATTTAAGTAGGTTTCAGATCACAACCATGAATAGCAAATTCTAAATGTAAATAAAGGGATAACAGTTTATAGCTTTTGGTGAGTGATAGAACTGATATTCATTGTATGCTTGAAGGAGAAAATAGTTGTAGATAGATTGAAGGTGATTTTCTAATGTAATGTACCTAAAATATAATGCATATATTCTTTGTGTTTGTTAGTGCAGTTCTGCTAGACCAAAGTCAAACACCTGCCTGCATTGTGATTGTATTCACCATCTGTGTCCTAATAGTCCTATCCCTAGTAAATACTTTTGGTACTGGCAGTTTATATTCTTATATTAAACTAAAAATTATTTGGTTTTCCATTCAGTTTGCTTTGGGTTTATTTTCAGCTACTGTTCTGTGACTTTGCTGTTTATAGTTTGGACCCAAACGGTTATTCGTTCTATGAAATATTGAATGCAGGAAATACTCTCCCGATTTTTATGCTACTATTATGCAGATATCCAAGCTTTGCAATGCCTGTCCTGCCCTGGCAACTTGCCAGGAGTTGGTATGCCACAACTAATGTATAGTGTAGCATATTTTTTGATGAGAAATATACACAATCAAAATTTTGCCTGGGATTTGTGTTTTCCTTTATAACTGTAGTTAGCATTGCCTCTTAGTTTAGTTCCAGTGACTGAAAATGAAAGGAGGGAAAGCAGCCACAGGGTGTATTTGGTCTTGGACTCAACAAGATCCTTTGTGGATGGCAAGTAGGCAAGCATTTGGATCTACTCCAGACAGCAATAATAGCTGTTTCCTGGGTAAGAGGAGATAGATGCCTTCATTCAGTACCCTGTCCTCTGTGAGATAAACTTTCTTTGTCTTTTTGTTTTTGATTATTCAGTTCTGCTTGGAAAGAAGAAGGTGTGGAACTGGGTTTCCTACTTAGAAGAGGAACAGATGCCAGCTGCTCCATTTAAATTGTTCAAAGAGGTTGGCACCTCCTTGAATACTTTTGCTATGATTGTTCTAAGGCAGTGCCATTGGTTAATATGATTTTGCACTTAAAACACTTTGCATTTGTAAAGAGCAAGACAGCATTGTTATCCTCACTTTTAACTATGTTCTCAAGGCGACATATAGAAAGTGAAGTGTACACCACCATACATGCAAATGGAGTCAGCTATCCAACATCTGCCTCCATTTCCCTGTCCAGAAACTGAATGTAATAATACTACTTTAGCCTTTCAACTTCCCTGTGAGGAAATTAATTAAATGCGTGGAGACAAACCAGTTTGAAATTCTTTGAAAGCTAGTACAGAGGTGCAAAATTATTAATACAATTAATTTGAAGTGGGGGCACTTTAATTCTTTAGGTAGAAGAGACTTATTTAATACTTGATTTGTCTTTAATCTCAGTGTTTCTTTAAGGCAGCAGTGGGATTGGAGACAATTACAAACCCTTTTTGAGCCCACAGCTAAACAATGTTCTTCATTGTTGAAGTACAAGTGAATCTATTATTAACAAATCCCTAAATCACAACCATGAAGGTGGTTGTTAAATGTTGGTTTTTGTACATCTAGCATCTAACTGATATTTGTGCAATGCTGCTTTTCAGCTCTCCTAATTAGAAAACCGTTTAAATTAATTGGATCCTTAAATCTTGGAATATTACAGAGTATCTTAATAATAGGTCATCATTGTAAGTGGAGGTAGAAGTAATGTGCAATTGCTGTGTCTAATATGTGTCAGTATAGTGACCTTGGATATAGTGAAACTTCTATATAGGCCCTGCCCCTATAGGGTGCTAAGTTCTCTCAATGCCCATTGATTTCATTAGAAGCAGAGGACACTTGGGACAATGCAGGATTGGCATCACAGTAAAGTGAATTGAAAGTCATGTAAAGTTTTCATATATTGCAATTACCAATTAGCTTTTTATAATCCTGGTTATAAGAACAGCTCTTTACACAGTTTGTCTATACTTCAGTGTTAACTTGGGTTAAGTTTAGGTATGAATTTTAAGTGCAGTAGCTATTCCCAAATAACTGTATGGGTAGACTCTTATTCCACAATAATTGTGCCTTGTTCCTGTTTACTTTTTGCTGCTAAGTCTGAAGGAATATGTTATGTTGGGAAAATGACTCCATGGTAGATCCACTTCTGATAGAGGCAAAGTTTATTTTAATTTCACGGACGGTTTGGTCTGTGTCAGACCTTCCATATTGGGCTGTATATGACGGTGTCTTGTATACAGATTAAACCGTTCCTGCATCTTCTGAAAGATTTAGTTTACAGACATGAGGTTTAGCATTTTAAAAGATCAAACACTTTTATTGTGAGTGTATGGAATGTTAGAGGGCAATATATTTGTGGTGCATGAAAATGCTTTTCCTGATCCATATAACTGCATGTGTCTATTGAGCATCACCTTTTGATGTAGAGAGCAGCTGAGGCCACTTTTATGACAGAGAATGGGATACAGTTCAAAACGGGGCCAAAGTGATACTCACTGACACAATCTAGTGTTAATTTTTTAAATAAAAAACATGAAGCCTTTAGGTTTTGGTTTCCTATCCTGCAATGTTCCTGGTGACTATTCTACAATGAGTTGTATCTCTAAAGATAAAAGTACTTTTTTTTCCCTCCATTCTTGTTCCCATAGTATCAATCCTTCCCACAAGGTAGAAATGGATTTAAAGTTGGAATGAAGTTAGAGGGCCTGGATCCTGAACATCCATCTTTATGTTGCGTTCTCACTGTGGCTGAGGTACATGCTTTTCCTGTATTAGACTTCCTTTCAAATGGATAATATACTCAAGCTAATAGATTTTTTTGTTCTAAAGAAATAAAACAGCATAGTATTTCTTTGTGAAAAATTGTACATTTACGTTAGTTTAAAAAGAATGAAAATAAATTAAGTGTTAAGAGAAAGTGTGCTGAAAGCTAAAAGGATCCTGCAGCTAAGGACCTAAATTTGGGTTTCTGTCTTTCAGCTATTATTTAGTGATTCTAACTAGGGTGAGTAGCCCAGTCGTTCCAATGACACTATTCTGAATGAGAGTTTCAGTGTTTGATTTGACAGCTTGGTGAAATGAAAGCAAATTGAAATATTTTTATACCTTTAAAAAAAATAAGTGAAAATTGCATCCATTTAATTGGATATATAATCATCATCAACCTGTGGTGTTTGCAACTTCAAACATTGCAGTGTAGGTATATGGCATGAGAACAGGGAAGTGAAGCTGAAAAGTTTTATTTTTCTTGGTCCGAACTGAGTTAAATTGAAAAGGGTAAATAGCATACATGGAAAAGCATAAAGCTAGATTTTTGAGAAGTAAATTAGCATTTTAAAATTCCTTTGTTTTACAAACCCAACTGGAGAAGGGAATTGTTCTTTTTAATTATTATTTTTATTTAACCTCGGTGTCCCTTTATGGTAATGAGACTTCTTGTGCTTGTAGGTGCAGGGATTTAGAATGAGGTTACATTTTGATGGTTATTCTGACTGCTATGACTTCTGGATTAATGCTGATTCCCCAGACATCCACCCTGTCAGCTGGTGTGAAAAAACAGGTCACAAGCTGCTTCCCCCTAAAGGTATGTGGAGAAAGAAAAAGGGTGGTATACTCAAAGCGATAAAGTCTGCAAAGAACTTGCTGCTGCCCTGCATATCCACAATCCATTTTTAGTATAATTTCATGTCAAGCCTACTTTGAATAGTGTTAAGTTTGAAGGCATAATTAAGATCAAAATTGAATCACAGAAGAGCATAACAACTTCTTTTTGATATTTTCAAATATTGGCATTGTTAGTCAAACTAATTAGAAACTCCTTATTAAGTGAGCATGCAAATCAGTGAATCTCTTTGGTGTTCCCAATTTACTCCTCCTTTCTGCATTCCATTTCCTAGAAACATTTGAAGTTTCAGATTAATGATTAGACACTGCAGTAAAAGAGGGAGAAATGTGTTAACTGAAATGCGTAACCCTTGAAGATTGTACAAGGGCAGTTATACAAAGTTCAAATTTTTCCTTGGTAATTTCCATTTCTGAAAAAACAATCTGAATATATCAGGAACAGCGTAAAACAAACTTTTCTCTCTCCTTTCTAGGTTACAAGGAAGGGGAATTTAATTGGACTTCTTATCTGAAGAATTGTAAAGCTCAAGCAGCCCCCAAAATCCTTTTCAAGACCCTCAGCACAGTAGGTGGTAGCATAAAATACGATGCCTTTTAAAACAGCATCATAGAAATGTGGGCCTGAAAGGACTTTCAGAGATCACCTAGCACAACCCCTTGCCATAAGACATAATAAAGCATAACATCCATGGACCAATCTCTGACACATTTACATAAGCTGCTCCATAAAAACCTTCAGTGAAGGAGATATGCAACCTACCTAACTAGTCTTTTCCATTGTTTCATGGTCCTACTAGAAAACCTTTTAACTAGAAAGTTTTTTAACTAAATATCCAAGATAAATCTTGTTTTCTGTAAAAGAAGCTGATTAATTATCATTCCTTACTGTTCATGGAGAAAAAATGATCACCATCCCCTTTATAACAAGCTATAATTTCTTTGACCGCTATCAAGTCCTCCCTCAGTCTTCTCTTTTGTAGACTAAACAAACCCAGTTCCTTTAACCTCTTACCAGCACTGAATTGAGTGGAATACTCTCTTACTTATAATACTCATATTAATACATGCCAGAATGAGATTTGCCTTGTTTGCAACAGCATCCTATTATTTTTACTTATATTTAGTTTATGATCCACTATAACCCCTAGATCCTTTTCTGCCATAGTGCTGTCTAGCCAGATATTTCCCATTTTGTGTTGTGATGTTTCTTTCCTAAATATAGTACTATGCATGTGTCTTTCTTGAATTCATCCTGTAGATTTCAGACGGTCTCTTCAGTTTCATTTCTCACTATCATTTTGAATTCCAGCTCTGTCTTCCAAAATTCTTCCATGGTTTCATCTGAAGATATTTTAAATGTACTTTTTTGTTCTATTACCCGGTCCGTTAATGAAAAAAAATGAATAGAACTGTGTAACATGATTGGTGCTGGGCCAGCGAAGCCACCACTCTTGGCCACTGCCTAGGCCTCACTTTGTTGCCTCCTTTGGCTTCTCAGGGTTCCACCCTGTAATCTCGCCTGTCATGCCTTGATAGGGAAGCTGCCTTTAGGGAACAAAGTGGGGTTTGGATGATAGGCCCTTGTCAGGGCAAACGCCCTCTGGCCTTATCCCACTTTACTCTGGCTGAGCCCCTCAGCCTGGGGTCCATTTTCCTAGGACCACAAGTTCCTGGGCCTCAGCACTAGCCATGCCCTTATGGCTCTGGGCCCCTTGGCCTCTGGTCTCACCTTTGCGAGTTCTGGGCTTGTGCTCCAGGCTTTGCTGTCTTCTGTCTTCACCCTCTGTCAGACAGTAACAGTCTTTCTGCAGGGTGTGGGTTACTGCATGCACATAGCCTCTGGCTCACAGTCCTGGTATGGACTCTGTGCTGTGGACCCCTGCCATACCCCCATCGCCTCCAATCCACCCCTTCCACATGTGGACGAGGCCCAGCCCAGTGGTGGGACGCACATGGTGTTGTGCAACTCGTGGGCCTGCTGCAGCGGGGCTCAAGACACAAAGCCCAGCCTGCAACAGCAGCTGCCTCTGCTGCACACAGGTCCTGGGGGGCACATGTCCCCTCACCCCCAAACATGGGGCAGCACAGGTGGCTGCAGCAGCAGTGAGGGAGGGAGTGGGGATGGAGTAGGGGCAGGCTCTGCACAAGTGGAGCGTGGGATGGAGCCTCCGGGAAGAACCTGATGCAGCCCTTGCCCCAGCCTGCAGCGGCAGCCAGCCCAGTCAGCATGCAGATCCAGGGACACATGGCGTGCCCCATCTCCCCACGCCCTCTGGATGAGCCATTTGTGGCTCTGGCGCATGCCCCAGCTGTGTAGGGCCTGTGCATCCCTCACTGCTGTGGGGTGGGGACAGATTGAGGCCCCAGTGGTGAGGAAGGGAGTGGGGCACAGGCAGGAGCAGGGGCTGGGAGGAGTGTGGGACAGACTTACCTGCTGTAGGGGGCATGCCCACATATAACAGTTCTGGGCGCCGCACTTTAAGAGGGATGTGGACAGCATGGAGAGGGTCCAGAGGAAGGCCACTCGTATGATCAAGGGACAGCAGGGTAGGTCCTATGAGGAAAGGTTGCGGGAGCTGAACTTGTTCAGCCTTCAAAAGAGAAGGCTGAGGGGGGATCTTGTGGCCTGTTATAAACTGGTTAGGGGGGATCAGCAGGCGCTGGGGGAGTCCCTGTTCCCCCGAGCGCCGCAAGGAGTGACCAGGAACAATGGTCACAAGCTGGCGGAGGGAAGGTTTAAGTTGGACATCAGGAGGCGCTACTTCACGGTCAGGGCGGCTAGGGTCTGGAACCAGCTTCCAAGTGAGGTGGTGCAGGCTCCCACCCTGGGGGTTTTTAAGAGGAGGTTGGATGACCACCTTACTGGGGTCATTTGACCCCAGTGCTCTTCCTGCCATGGCAGGGGGTCGGACTAGATGATCTGCTCAGGTCCCTTCCGACCCTAGAAACTATGAAACTATGAATTTACATTTGCATTAATTAAACACAATGTTGTACCTGGATCCCAGTCAAGACAGTTGTCAGAATTTCCATTATTCTAATCTCTCTCAAATACATTTCTGATTTTCCAACAATATCCCTGTGTGCGCAAGGATTTGTTCCTCATATACATTTGTAATTCTTCACCCACCACTATTTTAATTTCAAGCCACCATTATTTGCATAGGACCATTTGTCAGCCATACCAAATTACTTGTGCAGCAAAAGGATGGAGAATAAATTCCTGTGGTTATCATGGTCTTGCTATGTAAGTCTGTCTCTGCTTTGGACCCAGCTGTATACCTAAAAGTCACATTTGACTCTTCCTCCATTGATACAACAAGGCTGGCAATACATGTTATCAGAAGGGCAGTCTGTATTTCTGTCTCTGAACCTGACTGGGTCTGATGTAATTGAAAGTAAATAGTATTCAAGTTTCACTAAGTCTCTGTTAGAAATAATAGGGATTGTTGCCAGAACACATGGAAATCTTGGCTGTAACCTTTCTGCCAGATGTTTTGTCAAGCAGGTAGCTATAGTATGGGTTTTTTTCTTATACTGTTTTATATAAATAACCTGAGCCAAAGAGGCATGGTAATTTAAATGATCTGGCAGAGAGCTTGATTGTTGATTTTCTTTTTTCTCTGTTCTGTTCTTTAGCCTGTCATGCCATCCGGATTTCGGGTGGGAATGAAGTTGGAAGCAGTGGACAGAAAGAATCCATCTTTGATGTGCGTGGCAACCGTTGCTGATATGTTGGATAACCGGCTGCTAATTCATTTTGACAACTGGGACGAGAGTTATGACTACTGGTAAAGAAAATGCTTCTGCAAAGGAACAGTGTTTTTCCATTTTATGGTCCTGCCATGAAGTACATAATATCTCATACTTGATAGCCAGGATTTTCAAATGACTCCCTAGCTGAGGGCTTTTAACTCCATTTTTAGACTTCTAAAAAAAAAATGTACCCTGATTTTCAACAGCATGAGTGCCCTGTGGTTTTCACTGATATCAGCAGGGGCTGCTGGGTGCCCAGCTCCTTTGAAAGTCTGGCCACTTATGTAAATATAAGCAAGCACTTAGTGCTTGATCCAAAACTTCGTGAAATCACTGAACATCTTTCCATTAAATTCAATAGACTTTGTATTAGAATGTTAGTTGGGTGCAGGTGGATGTTGTGGGAGGGCACATGGGGTCCCTGCCACTTAAAGAGGCCAGGCAGCCTGCAATGCTGCTGGCAGGTGTGTGCCAGGGCTAACTGCGGGGTCAGTTGACCCAGCCAGAGAAGGCATAAGCCCAGGCCCTGAGAGACGCCAGCAGTAACAGGTCAGAGCCTGCTGAGAGAACACCACCTCTGCAGGATGGCTGCAGCTCCAGAAGGTCAGCTTGGAGATAACACCTAAAGCAGTCTGGAGGTTTGGGGAGGAGGAGGTTCCTAGTGGCCCAGGGAGGAATCCAGGGCCTAGTGAGAGGCAGAGAGTGAGACCAACGGGGGTCCAGGACCGCCAGAAGGGAGCTTAGGTGAAAGAAAACATCTATGAAGGATTCCGTCTGTGAGGCATGAAGCATGGTGTAGGGCAGAGGTTGTCAACTGGGGGTACTTGGGAAAGCCCTAGGGGGGTACGCACAGGGGGGTGGGGATGGAGCACTGCCACCCACTACCTGTGCTGCCGCCTCCTAGGAGCAGGGCCAAGAGGGGAAGGGGGGTGAGGGCAGCGATGCCCCTCTGCGGGCCGCAAAGGAGGTGGCTAGATGCAGCGGGGAGCACACGGCAGCCACCACTGCCACACTAGCAGCATCAGCTGTGGACCCCAGGCAAGAGCTTCTGCCATGCTAGGTGGGCAGCAGCATCAGCTGTGGCACTGCCTACAGGTTCCATGTCAGGTCTCCAAAATCTGCTGGCTGCCCCCACAGTTGATGCTGCCATGCCCCCCACTGCCACAGAAGTCCCTGTCTGTGCCCACAGATGAGCTTCAGGACTCTGGCACACTACAGCTCTAACTGGGTTCAGGAGGAAGAGAGGGGGAGCAAGAGAGTGAGAGAAGAGCAAGAGAAGCAGATGGACAGAGAGGGAAGAGGAGAGAGAGAGACAAAGAGAGATGGATGTGGACCTTGATAGGTCCCCACAACTCATTAAATGCCCCTCCAGCCAAAATAATTGCCCACCCCTGCTCTAGTTGCTCTCTTCAGCCCTGGGCCCCCTTTGTCTGGCCTTGGCTCTTTGGTAGCAGCAGTACACCTGGAAATTAGGCTCCCCAATAGGGCTCTGGGTCCTCCAAGTTCCCCAGCCTTGAAGGGGTTAAATCCCCTCTCTCTCAGTGTATGGCCCCACACCCACAAGGGGTGAAAACAAACAGGGCACTTTAAAGCACATGCATGGTGACTTCCACCTTCCCTCACAGTGCTTCCTGTCCTCTGGACAGACTGAAACAAAAATGCAAGCAATCTTTCAACTAAAAATTACTTCTTCTCCAGACACTTGTAATAAGTCTGCCCTGTTTATCCTTCTGAATTCTGTGCAGGGAAAAGGAAAGAAGCCACACCAAAAAAACCTCTCTCAGCCTTTACTTACCACGGCTCCCCTTTTTGCTTGTAGGCCCCACTGCAGCCCGCCTGAGGGATCCTTCCCCTTCCTCAGCCAAGGCTGGACTGCCCCTTCAGCCTGAGGACAAAACCTGTTCACCCCTTGAACTCTCCTGTGCCTTCTGGTCAGTTGATTTTATTATACGATCTAAGCCCAGGGGCTGCTCCTTAGTTCCAGCCCTGCCAGCCGCCTTTATCTTGGCCACAGAGACACTTAAAGGCACTTGCTGCTTCTGCTGCTTTCGTAGCCCTCCCTAAGTAACAGAATGAGGGTTCCCTGTTACAGTGATCAAAAGGCATGGCTATTTTGATGTAACTGTTACATCTGCAACCCTGAATGGAACACAGGTGTGGCTGCTACACTTTATACTGCTATAAGATCAAGTAGATGTAACAGGTGCATTGTAAAGTTTATACTGATGTAATTTAGTATCAGTATGATCGTTACATCTGTACCCACCCATAGATTCTCAAGTTTAGGCAACAATTTCTAAAAATCCTGACCTGCACTTTTATTGTGTCTTAGATATGAGCTGGGATCCGGTTTTTCCCTTTCCTGTGGGGGAAAAGTGGAAAAATGCAGATATTCCTCTTTAACAGAGAAAAATGTGGATTTTCTCCTTCAATGGAGAAAATCATAGCAATCTCCTTTAAGGGAGAAAAAGGAGAAAAACATGGGAAACTTCAGGTTTCTCCTTGCAGGTTAGCACAGTTCCAGCCTGCAAGGGCCTGCTTGGGGCTGAGGGGAGAGCAGGACTCAGGGAGCACCACATGCATGTACAGGGGGCATCATGTGCATGAGACAGGTGGGCAGCAGTGCAGAGCAGCTCCCACAGCTCCCTTCAGGTAAGTCTATGGCAGGGGGGAACAGGTGACATGTTGGGGGGTAGGGGCAGGAAAACACAGGCAATGGGGTGGATCTGGCCCAGCTGAAGCCCTGCATCCCACTGTGGTTGCAGAAAACGGGGGGTATGTGGCCCCCCATGCTGTGTTGTCTGTCCCCTGCCTATCCCCCTATGCGTTGCCTGTGCCTACACCCCTCCATCCCCACACATCCACTCCCTTCCTCATGTTGGGGGTGGGGAGCACCAGCAGGGCTTGGAGGGCTGTGGGTAAATATATCAGTATAACACTATGTTCAACTGATACCTAGATAAGTAGTGGCATTTCAGTTTAATCACAGAAAAATGCGGATTTGGGTATTTTTGCTCAGAGAATTGCGGGGGTGGGGGCGTGTCTTTTTAGCCAGAGAATTTAGGTTTTTTAAACAGAAAACTAGGATCCCTGGAAATGAGAATCTCATGGTGGTTTTCACATGATTATTTAACACCACATTCCATATGAGATCTCCTGAGTCCTAAGTTCTTGCTCTATCCCTGAAACTATATTGAATGCTAGTAAATGGAAAAGCTTTCCTCTTTATTTCATGTCTCAACTGATGACATATGTATCCAGTTTTTAGTTTAATTTCTAAAATGCTATGTGAAAGAAGTACAAAGCATACAGATTTTCACCCGTCAACTTCATGTAGTGGTGGTTCGACTATAATAACTCTCTCTTCCCTCCCTTTTTTTTGTGCCAGGAAGGCAAAGAGGCATCTGCATGGCTTTAGATCTCCCTAGCTGATCTTTAACTTTCTAATTCTCAAGAGTAGACTTCATCTAGGGTTTTGCCAAACTTTGCCATTTCAATTTATAGGGTTTTGGGACTGGTCTCGTTGCGGTTTTAGTCTAAAGTTTTACTTCCACTCTAAATTCCACATTCAGTTTCTGATTTGAAGAAACCTAAAACATTAGGGTGCACCAATAAAGATTTTTTTGGCCGATACCGATGGCCCAGCCATATCAGCCTATACCTGTCTGATTGCTGATATGCAGCTGGGCAGCTTGGAGGGCGGTGTCCAGCCAGTAAGTCTGTGAAGGAGGGAAGGGGCATGTGGCGGGTATTGAGGCCCCTGCAGTGAGGGAGGGAGTGGGTTAGGGCCAGGCACTGCTCCGCCAGGGCAGGGTGGGGGATGGAGCCATGGATGGCTCATTTGGGGGCTTGGGGTGGGGGTGGCTCCGAGCTGCTGTACGCACCTCCTGGGGGAGGCATGTGTCCCCTGGATTTGTGCGTGGGGCGAGAATGGGCTGCCTGCTGCAGGTTCAGGGTCAGGGGCTGTGCCAGCCTCTTCGTGGCATGGGGAGTGGGCCAGGGCTGTGCTCAGGGAGGGCAGGGCAGGTGGCGGTGGTGCTGGGAGGAGGAGCTACAGGAGGGGTGCTGCAGCCACCCCAAAATTTGCTGTATCCCACACTTCCAGCACACCCCCCCCCCCCCCCCAGGAAAAAGCCGGCACAGCCTGTGGCCCCAAGCCTGCAGCAGGCAGCCCACCCTCACCCTGCACATGACCCCATGCCTCCTCTGGGGGTGTGCACAGCAGCGGGAGCTGCCCCTGCCCCGGGTGGACAGTGCCTGCCCCTGCTCCTACCCCTACCCCAGCCCTACTCCCTCCCTCACCATGGGGGCCTCGATCTGCCTCCCACATGCCCCTTCCTCCCACAGACTCACTGACCAGGTGCTGCTCTCCAAGCTGCCAGGCTGCATTCCTGGTCATGTGTAAGTTGCAGCTGCACACATGCATACAGCATTTATCAGTGACAATATCGGCCACATCAGCCAAAACAAGTCGATTGCCAATAATGTCACTTTTCCTTTTATCGGTGCTGATACGATATGGACTGATATATCAGTGCACCTCTAAAGCATAATGCAAAGGGTGGAACAGGCTACCTAGAGAAGTTGTGGAATCTTCAGCTCTGGAAATTTTCAAGAGCAGCTTAGACTGTTGGCTGGGGTGGTTTAGTTAGGGATGATTCTTCCCTGAGCAAGGGGGCTGGACTAGATTACTTTGTGAGGTCCTTTCAGACCCACTTTTCTATGATTCCGAGCTGAACAGATTTTACTTAGCTTCAAATTTTATTCAGAAATAGCATTTACAGTTCTTAGGCTAAAGTCTTCAAATAATTTTCTATCTCTATCACTGCCTTCCATGCCCCCCCAGTAACCTTGTTGTTATTTACATAGGGATTTTATTGCATGTTTGAGGGACTTTGTTTCTTTCTTATTTTAGCTGATTTGGTTGTCCAGATATTAAAAGAATGCAGATACTCCCACATTTCTAAATTCCAAATGCATACTTCGCTCTTTTGTATTTGCTCTGCTTGTAGGAACAGCTTAAATGTCTTGAAAATGTTACTTTATAAATTCCATCCAGGTAACAGTTGTCCTGTACATCATGATCACACGCACTGAAAGCATCTGCTGCCCCGGCAAAGAAACATCAGACAGCATTTGAGCTGCTGCGTTTCTTCTGCATTGAAGTTGACTGGTGCCAAATTTTTCCTTTTGATCCAGGTGTGATGCTAGCAGCCCATACATTCGTCCTGTTGGTTACTGCCAAGAAACTGGAACCCCACTGACAACACCACCTGGTATGTTGAAAGGAAGTCTTGTTTCCTGCTTCAGTCAAAAGACCTGCAAGTTCTATCTCCCATGTAATTATGCATTTGCAAGTTATGAGTTCAGTTCAGTTGAACTTTCCTCTCTTTGCTGAGCAGAGTTATTGTTAACACTCACTGAATTGCAACTCCAGTTATTATTCAATAGTTCTTTCAGGCCAGTGGAACAGGCTTTTATAATTTGGGATTGAATAAGATTGGGAAGAAGGGTGGAGTTTTGTGGTAGATACAGTATTTCCTTGAAGGTGTGTTAGAAGGAAAAGGAATGGGTATTTATGTTGTTGAAGGTGCAGCTATGCCATTCCTGGAAAACAGGAAGAAAAGTATGATTGTAGTTATGTTTATTTTTATTGCGTTGAAGTTTAGTAGGTAAAATGGAATGCTAGCAAAAGGACAATGATAATTGTAGAAGAACATATGGGTATCTTTAGGCTTTGGCAAATGCTTAAAAAGAATCCACTTAATTTTGGATTAACAGGTGAGAAAGAGAATGTTCTGTATTTATCTGCTTAACAGGTTAAATAGTAGATGTGATCATGTGTGTGGCATTCACAATGTAGTGCAAGTCTCCTTTCAGTCTTGGTCCCTGAGATAGTCAAAAAGGAAGCCCACAGTGTGCCACATGCTTTGATGTTTTTGTGATAGGATACCTGTCCATTGGGGAACATACTGAGACCAACAAATTCAGACTACTAAGAAGGTTTTGAATAGCAGAGATGGTGGCAGAGGGGAGGAAACAAGATTAAATGGTGTTTTAAAATTATCTTTAAACATTTTGCTACAAGACAACACATTTCATAGTTATAACAATACAACAAATCTGTTTCTGTTCTGTACGGTAATGGAAGAATGGAATCTTTGACCTCCGATCTGCTAAGTTACATTTAGCGTATGAGTTACTAGCTAGCTAGCAGCGGAAAGTCTTTACAAACTGACTGCTGTTCAGATATAGGTTAAATAACAAAAAAAAAAATGTGATTATTTCATCTCAGTTCCCATTACAAAAATACATGATTCGCCCTTAAATGGCAGCTGACATATAAGAATTGATTAAGCAATATAGAAAAAAACTATTCCAGTTTCTCCAGGTCAGGTTTGAGACTTTGGAAACTTGCTTTATAACTCACTGTCTGGGTTATAAATTGTCTGTAGGAATTAACAGCTTAGTTCTGCAAGGATGTCAAGCTGCCATCGCTTGTGAATGCTAAAGTCACCGAATAGTCACATATTACATAGCTTTTTTGTTCTTATGACTTGTGATTAGTTCTTGAGATGGTCTTTTATCTTTTACAGAATATAAGGATTCCAAAAGCTTCTCGTGGGAGAAATATTTGGAAGAAACCAATTCCCAGGCAGCCCCACCAAGAGCATTTAAATTGGTTGGTGAAGTTCTCTTATCTCACTAGGCCAGGAAACTAGTGCTTGGTTCCCTCCAGATGAGTTAGTCTTAGTGGTGAGGCATTCCTTGCATCCCTGTCAACTTGGTTAAACCAGGTCTTTGCTCTGAGCCTGTGTTTAGAAGGCTCAGGAAGATTGGTCCAAATTCTCTGCCTTGAAGCAGCACATGTGGCAGACTCCAGGGTCCCCTTTGGAGCGGAGCTTTCATGGGATTTCAAAAAGATTTTTAACTAACTGTTTTTTCAGGTTTTTCATTAGCAGTTTTGGGAAGACTTCAAAGCCTAACTTAAAAAATCATTCTTTTAGCATTCTGAGAGGGGCTGGAAGAACTTCCCATTTCGCCTCAGAAGTGGCAGACATTTAGCAGTCCCCTACACTTCGGGGTCCTGATGCAACCTGGAAGCTGTCACTTGGCCTGTGGGCATGGTCCAAGCTGAGATGATGGAGCAGGATACGTGGAAATTCCTTTTATTTAGGACCAGAATTAGTAAACTTAAACCAAGTGTACAGTTTTCTTTTGTTTCCCCCCACAAAGCCTCCTAACTTTCCTCCATGGACTTGAGACCCCCGTTCCCATAGTTTGAAGCACAAACAAAAGTGTTTCTCTGGACCCTCCTTTCTCTGGGAATCTTGAGGGTGGAGGTAGGTGCCCCCCATACTAACTCAGACGAAAATATTCCAGGATCCAGCCACACTGTTAACATGGTATCTGCTGAGATATCTAAGGAGGCTACATAGCCTCATGCTTCCTTTTTCTTGAACTGTGTTAACTGCAGTTCCTCAGCTCATGTGAAAGGTACTAGTTCCTGCTTCCTTCCTAATAAAAATAAATCCTTTAGTCCAGTGGCTTCAGATCACTTACTGTTCTGTGTGGCCGGCCCCACTGCTCCTAAACTTGGTAGTAGGGAGCATGGCATGACTTTTAGATCTCCATCACTGGGAAGAAGATCTTTCTCTTTCCAGCTTCCAGTAGTCCCACAGGTCATAAACTAGCTATTACCATATTTTCTTATTTATAACATGCCCCTAAATAAAATGCACAGCTTGTTTTTGAAAGACAGAGCTATCCTTGAGAACCTTAACTGGGGAAGTGTCCACCACTATCAGCTAGGGAGCTCCGCCTAAGGCATAGACAGTTTTACATTTGCTTTCCCCTTGCAGGGGCTTGGGCAGCAGAAAGTGCTGTTACCCTATTTCCTTGATTATAATGCACATTCCAGTTTCCCACAGCTGGATTTTGGGAAAAGAATACTTGTTGTATGTAAGAAAATATGGTGTTTGCCTTTGGAAAATGTGCAAAGATACATGCCTGCCAACTGCCTTTTTAGTATCTGATAAGTCCTCTTCTGGCCCGGGACTGATGCAGGGTATTTGGGTCATAGATAGCTCTTGAAGGGACAAAGCAAAGTCTTTATACCTCTCGTGAGCGAGATTCTCCAAACAATGTTGAAGAAGAGCTACGTAATTCTTTCTTACCTGGGTTATGATAGTGTAATTAAGGTGGGGGGTGAGAATTTCCTGTCAAAGATCTTCCTTACCAAAGCAGTAAAAGGTTTGTGTTCCTCTGCCTAAGATCAATCCTGCTTCTGTTTCCTTAGTTATGGATAAGATAACTAGCTGAAGGAGTGTTTCTGGTGAACCCATAGATGAGAGAGTATTCAGACTAAACTTGAAAACAGCTTTCTCAGCCCGAGTACTGGATATAGCTGCTTATTGTGGAAGTCTCTTGTTAATTTTTAATTTCTGCTGAAAAGGCAGAAAACCAACTGCTTGGAGAAGTAGCTTTATTTATATCCCAGGAAAAGACTTACTCTAACGCTCAGTAATTGTACATCAGGAGGGAAAGTCAGAGTGAGGTGATTCAACAATGATGCCTGTAAGGCCAAAGGCATCTAATTTAGAACAGCAGCCTTCTGGTGCATCACAAGCCAGGCTGGAAGTCTACAGATGCACTTAGTTGCATCTAATGAGAAATCCAGAAGAGGCATTACATGAGAAAGAGGCATATTAAAAGTAGAGGTTGTGGGGCCTGTTATCTCACAGGTGAGCTGAATGGCTCCTTTATACCTCTCCATAAGTCATTAAGGGGATGAGCACACAAACAAACTACTACAAGGTGAAAGCAGGTGGGGATTTATTGCACAGTCTCTGCTCCATGATAACTGTTTTGGTGTGTACTCTTACCTTGCAATAAATAGAGGCTGACCCATGGCAGTTTAGCTCTCTTCCACTGAGGTCTAAGATGTCACAAGTTACTTTGGAGAAAATCAGGCATACAGGCAGTTACTGCAGGGCTGCTGACATGTGGCGAATCCCCTTTTATCTCTTGGTAGCTCATTCACCTATGACGTGAGAACAAAGATGTTGAAAACGATTGTGAGGGAACAGGTCACGGCCTTAATACAAACCCTCATGTCTGTGTTCTCAAATCTAATTTATATGTATCGGGGTCACCTCTCTGAGTCCTGACGTACAAGTAAGTGCACATATACTGAAGTGCAACAGGGGACCTATCTGAAACTGGTACCCAAATACTGCATAAATTTGACTGGGTAGTTCAGAGGAAAGAACTAAGATAATCTTTGCGTGAGGGAATACCATAAAGCCATTTGTAACCCAAACCTCCCAATCAACAAGGACATCACCATGTCACCACCGGGTAGGCTCAAATCTAGAAAACCCTTCTGGAAATACACCAAGAAGCTCTGTGATGATAACAAGAGCACCAAAGAACAATGGAGAGAAGCTTGGGCAAATACCAACTTGCCACAGAAGTATATCATCAGCGACCCTACAATCCCCCAGCCAGGATTTGATCTACTGAGAAAGATTTGTTCCTCCCTGAATCACGTCCAGACACTTCATGGAAAATGTGATCACCTACTCCACAAATGTAGAATCAAAGAGAGTCTGGGCTGTGATTGTGGTGTGATTTTTCAGACCGTGCAATAGATTGTGAATGATTGCCCAATTAGATCATTTAATGGCAATCTAAAATCAATCCATGCAGCTACCCCAAAGCAGTTGAATGGTTATCACATTTAGATATTAGTCTGTGAATGTTGTAATCCTAAAATGTCATATGAAAGAAGATGACGACTAAGATGATGATAAATGCTGCCATAGTATCTTAGAGAAAAAATCACAAATACTGTCTGTGTATCATTTGAAGCTTAGATGTGGGTATTATAAGGGACATGCATTAGAGCAAGTCATCTGAAGAAAGGGATCTTTTAGTAGTTTTACAAAATATCTTGACCATGGCTTAAGGGCAGTGGTTTTTGGAAAAACAAGTTGGCCGTGTGGGCAGCAGCTGTTCTTAAAGCACCATGAGAATCTTGTCATCATCATGTAACATTCTTCCTGAGGACCATTATTTTTATGAGCACTCTGGCAGCAAGGAGATCCAGTATGATCTTAATCAGTGAGTTGAAGTCCAAAAAACCACATCTCAACTTCATGGTTGGTAGGTTCTTCCTCTGCTTTCATAGATTTCATAGACATTAGGGCTGGAAGGGACCTTGGGAAGATCGAGTCAAGCCCCCTGCCCGAAGGGCAGGAAGTCAGCTGGGGTCATAAGATCCCAACAAAATAAGCATCCAGTTTACTTAAATGAAAGCATCCAGTCTATTTGCTACATCCTTATCTAAGAGGGTTTCAGATCTTGGCATGCTCACAGTGAAACCTTGGTTACATGTTTAATCAAAGAGGATGGGTCTATGTACAGATCTGGCATCCATCCCTAGACTATTCTTCATATAATAGGAAGTTTGGATTCAACCAAAAGGACAAAAACAATATCCTCTAGAACGGAAATGCATAAGTTAGATGTGAGGAGAACCTCCAGAGGAATAAAGATATATATGGGCGGGGGGAGCGAGCAGAGATGTTCAGAGCATCAGATAGGGTTTCTCTCATACTCTGGAAAGAACAGCAGTGATGTAGATATAGAAATTACACAGTTCTTATGAAGAAATTGGTAAACTTACTCCAGGACCATCTATTCCTCCTTCCATGCTTTTTCAAGTGTTACAGGGTTGACATCCTTATTTTTATAGAAAGCAGCTTTCAATAGAAGGATATTAGAGAACAAGGTGTCTTATTAGCTCCTGAGTTTTGCAGTGGGGCAGAAGAGGTTTGGTTATCGTTCTCTAACTAACTAGTTTAAAATGGAAGAGTGTGTTTCTGTGAAAAATTTCTACATTGGATACTAGGATTCTGCTGGAAATAGTTTAAGCTGAGTAGCATTTTAAAACTTACACAGAATTAAATTTTTTTCCAGGCTGAAAACTTTTCTAGAAGGGGCATTCCTAAACCCAGGCTCAAAGCCAAGATCTGATCTGCCTCAGATGCCCATTGGGAAGACTGTTTGAGATTGGGGGAGGCCTAAAATGAAGTGTCCCAGATAAGATGGAATTTTACTTTTGATGTAAAATAAAAACCATGCTGCAATAATATTACATCACTAGCATTTTCCAGTCCACTGGTGAAATGAAAGCTTAGGAGGATGTAGTTCTGTGTGGTATTTAAAGGCTTAACTTGAGATTGCAACATCCTGATGGAAAGGAGGCTACATTATGCATGTTTCTTCAGAAAGTTAAATCATTTTAATGCTGGTAGAAAGGGATTGCTTTCAACCACAGAAAGGGAGCAACATGGTGATCTTCCCCCAAGCTGCATGCCAACTGTATATAAAGCGCTGACATAATGCATAGTCTGCCTAAAATCTTCTGAAACATATATTCTGAACTATTTGATGAAGTGTCAAAATCATGCCCCAGTCCATATGGGAATTCAACCAAATGACCTGGGGTGATGAATGGCCTTTGTGCCAGAGCAATACTAACAATTTCATTTTTTAATCTTTATTCCCTTTTTTTTAAATACATGTCACTGGTATTGACTGTGAAAGGGTCCGCTGTATTGGCCCGATTGATGAGCCTGGCTTATGGGTGCACCGACAGAGATTTTTGGGGCCAATACTGATATCTGATTTTTTTTAAGGAGGCATATTGGCCAATATCAATCCGATTTCCAGTGCAGCGTGGAGAGCTGCCTTCAGCTGGTAAGTCTGTTGTGTTGGAAGGAGAGTGGGGAGGGAAGCAGCATGTGGGGAGGGGAGGGCAGACGGGCAGGGGCAGGTGCTGCCCAGCCAGGGCAGGGTAGAGCAGGACACAGAATGGACCTGCTACTTGTCAAGGGCAGGGGGGGCAGCTGCAGGCTGGAGTTGGGGCTGCGCTAGACTCTTCTCACTGGGGGCTGGGCAAGGGCTACAGACAGGGCTGCAGCCACCCCAAATTTCGCTCCCAGTGCTGCTGCCATGCGCCCAGCACAGTCCCAGCTCTTCCCGTTGAGCAGCTGCAGCTCACCTGTCCTGCCCTGTCCCACCCTGCACAGATCTGGGCACCCTGTTGCTCATAACAGCAGGAGTCCCTCTCCTCCCCCCGACAAGTCGCGGGTCCGTCCTGCAACCTGTCCAACCCCAGCTGGGCAGCACCAGCCCGTACCCATGCCCCTGTCCCCTCCATCACCACAGGAGGAGGGGGGCATTGATCTGCCTCTCCATGCCCCTTCCCTGTCTCCTTCCCTTCCACCCCAATGGACCTACCAGCTCTAGGCAGCTCTCCATGCTGCTGGGCTGTGCTCCTCGCTGCCTGAGTGCTGCGCTGCGGCTGCACGCACATATGAGCATGTATCAGGCAAATTGGGCCAATTTCTTATGTAGCCAATTTTCTTTATGTCGGTATCAATCTGATATCGGACCAATGTATTGAAGCATCTCTAATCTGGCTTTTAGCAAGCTACCAGCACAGCTCCTCAGAAAATCTGATTTTGACCTCAAAAGCAGTCAGCACCATGCAAGATTGAGGACAAAAGTTACAAAGGGTTGTTTATGGATGTATGGAAGAACCTACATATTGTGTCCAAAATAAAAATGACTAGTTCTGTATGCTACCTGGACTTTTCAGTCTGTTTACGATAATCTTTTACAGCATCCTGCCCATGGGTTTCAGGTTAATATGAAGTTAGAGGCTGTGGACAAGAGAAATCCCAAGTTAATAAGGGTGGCAACAATTGTTGACAAGGATGACCATCGGATCAAGGTATGCATTTCAAGCTAAGTAAACTACCCTTCCATCTAAAAAAGCTGTTGATTTGAGGCACAGAATAAGTTTAGTTTGTGTCCTCGCTATGGCAACCACGCACACTCTTAGATTCAGAGATTCAGCCATAAACTACATATACAGGCAGTCCTCAACGATGCTGGACACAGGTGCCTCCAGCTGGTAAGTCTGTTGTGGTGGGCGGGGGGGAGAAGGAAAGAGCATGGGGGGGCAGATCAACGCCCCCACAGCGAGGGAGGGATTGGGGCTGTGGCTGGGACAAGCTGCCCAGCCAGGGTGGGGGGGCACAGGACTCGGGGAGGGGGGCCCCTGCCGCTGTGTGCCACTGGTTTGGGAGCTGCTCTTCTGGTGGCTCGCTGGTTTGGGAGGGCATGGGAGTGGGCATGTGGCCCCAAATCTGTGCTGGAGGCAGCTGTGTCCAGCATCATCGAGGACTGCCTGTATAGTCTATGGCTAGATCTCTGACCGGGACAGTGATTCAGATCACCAAACTGAATCACTGTTCATCCAAATCGGCCAAATCCAAAGCAAATACTTGCTGCTTCGCAGAGGCCTACTAAGCATTCATGAGACCATAACAACTTAAATAGCTGTTGCTTCACTCTGAATTTGGACTGGCAATATGGAAGTTGAAGTGATTTATATTCTATTATCAGCCCTTTGACCTGTCAAAACACTCTAGTTATTTCAGTGCATAGAACTGGGCTAACTTATTGGCATTAATAATATTTTTGGAATTCTGGAGCACAAGGCAAGTAATGAAGTGATTCAGCTTGCAAACATTTAAACCAAATTTAAAGAGTACAATTTAACATCCCTGTGCTCCATGCTTTATTGTAGGCCCTATGATTTGACTGTGCTAGCTGGATCTCTTTGGTTTTTGTAACCACAGAAGCAAGCAAAAACAGATACAGTAGTTATGCTGAACACGTGAAAGGAGGAGATTGTATGCGACTTTAACAGCATTCAGTGTTTCAGCTGCAAATGGAATTTTTTATAAAAATTGAGGAGAAAGGAAGAAGTTAAAGTGAAAGCTGAGTCATATCTGGATACCTTAACTGTATCTCTCATGTCTGGTGTTATTTGTGTGATTATTTGCTCCTCTTTTAGGTCCATTTTGATGGGTGGGACCGTAACTATGATTTCTGGGTTGATTCAGACAGCCCAGATATTCACCCAGTAGGCTGGTGTGCAAAAACTGGACATGTTCTACAGGTTCCGCTAGGTGAGGAGGACAGCATTGGGTGCTTACGTTTACATTTCTTGTCTCTGATCTGTTCTAATGCATGGGACCTTTTACAAGATCTTGTTTAACTGTTTTCATTATTAGGTGCTGCTGATACAATGGGAACAGTTGGGCAAGGGTGCCCTACCCCTGGCTGTCAGGGTATTGGTCATGTCAGAGGACCCCGCTATGGAACACATTATACGTACGTGTATATGGAGTGCAAGGGATAATTTTCCATGTTTTGTAGCTTTAGCTTCTTGGCTCCTGTTGATGTCCATGGTAATGCACTGGAAATGTTGTGGAAAGTCCTGTCATATCTGTGACTGCAGCTCCCTCTCATGCCTGAGTATGGTACTCTACTATGATTTAGTTTGCACCAGTAGTACTGTAAGAGAGATTGCATTGCAATGTTAAACTAGACAGATATCTGTCTTATTAGCAATTCACTTTGGTTTCTACCACCCACCATCATTAAAGTGGTCTCTTTTGTAATATATTGTCTCTGAGAGAAAAACACAAGAAAAAGACTCTGAAGAGAAAGGAAGAGCATGGCATAGTTATTAAAGTGCAAATGTTAGCAGAACAAGGTCGAATTTCATGCTCTGCTAGTGACTTCCTGTGAGAGTATAGTGAAATTAAACTCTGTGTTTGGCTTGCTTTCTCTGTAAAGTGTGATTAGACTTTCTTACCTCACATAGGGTTGCAAAGATTAGATACTTAATGTCTGTAGAATGCTTTGAAATTCTAAACTGGAAAGTACAACAGAGTTGTTAAATATTTGTTTTTGTTTCATATGAATTTCTGCAGAGACAAGGAGGCTAATGGATAGTTGTTCTTATTAAGCTATTAAGCAGCAATCCTGTCTAGGAGTCCAGTGACCTTGTTTTCTAATGCTAGCTCATCCACTAAGACTGTATCTTGGTTTTCTATCTCTGAAATGAATTATATTTGCCTTCCAGATAAATTTTGAGCCTTAATGCATTAGTTTTCATAAAATGTTATTCTCTACTAGAGCAGTCATGCTGGTGAAATCCGTAATGGAGAGGGGCAGTCCAGAAAGCTTACCCTGTAATTTCACTCACTTGTAAAGAAGTTTACTCTTTTGTACTCTGACAGTGTGGTTTCAGTTCAGTGCCAGGTTAGCTTATCTTGATGCTCTTGTTCTCTCATTTTCCCAAAAGATACAATGCTGCTTTGTGCCATAAAAGCACGCTCTTGACCCTGTACGCTCTGTGGCGTCACTCGCCTCTTTTAAATCCTTCCTTGAAATTCTGCTTTAACTGTTTTTTCTTCCATCACTGATCTCTACACTGGATTCTAAAACAGATTCTGCTTTCTTTTACATAGATGTCAATCCATTGAAGTCACCAGTGCAACTCAGAGCATACTCTTCTTACTAGTTTCTTTCCCTGGTTTACCTTTCCTTGCCAAATAATACGTTTTTACTCATTACAGTTTGCAGGTGCCAAACATACGTATTCTCTGTTCCTCTGGGATCTCTTGACTATCCACTCTCCCTCGCTGCATCCCAAAATAGGCTGCAAGTGAATACACCTTTGCTTAGGAGAAGGTGAAGGGTAGTGACTATATGACCTAATAAAATGTGTATCTCTGTCTCTGTCTGTGCATCTTCATCTGTCTCCCCCTCTCCCTTCCCCAGGCACATGTTTCATTTGAGTTGGACACTTCACCTTGCAACAATAGCCGGGGTCATTTGACCCCAGCGCTCTTTCCTGCCCATGGCAGGGGGTCGGACTTGATGATCTGCTCAGATCCCTTCTGACACGGCCAACTATGAAACCATGGACCAGTTTGTTGCACTGGGCCATCAAGGGGACACTGCAAGGTGGAAGATGGACAGCTAATCTTAAATGTGTAACCCATGACAGATGTTGCAGAGTGTCACAGGGACAACTTCCGTTAAGGGGTCTACCTGCCCCACAGGAGGGACACCTCCCACTCACCATTCCATGCCTTAATTGTTATGATCAAGATAAGGTGGAGTCAGTGGTGTCTTCTGGGTGACCCACAAGGTTACTCATGGTGCAAGGTCCCAGTGATGTGAAGCTACACTTCCCCTATACCCCATCCACATGCCAGCTGGGTGTTGTAGTATGCCTGGTTCCCCTGGTTAGCAGTGTCAGGGTCCAACAGCTCAGGTGCTATCGGTGGCAGGGTGTCTCCACTCTTAAGTCCAGCCCAGGAAAGAATCAAAGGAAAGTAATCATCCAAAAATGATACGTGTCCCTCCAGACAAACTGGGTTGCCCTTTTTATTCAGGTGCAACCCCTTCCCAATGCCCAATACCTCCCAGGCTAGGGCTATATCCCAAATCCTTCCTGTCCTAATGGTTCTTCTTGTCCTTACCTCAGGACAGGACCATTTGGAGCACTGAGTGCACAAGCCTTCAAGCCTAGGGACTTCCTCACAGATCTCTAGGCTTCCTGGCTCTGCTGCTGATCCACACCCCTTCTTCACCCCGGTTCTTCATCCCAGGGCCCTCTCCCGGTGATAAATGCAGGTCTACCGGGCTCATTTCGGCCTCCCTTCTTCCCACTCTCTCTCTGTCAGGCCCATGCCTTCTTTCAGTTTCCCGGCTCAGCGCAGCCCTTTTACATCATCCACTGGGTGACTGCCAGCCAGATGACACAGGAGCTAATAAAACACCATGGTACCAGGATTTGCTGCTCCCAGTCTGTCTGCCACATCCCTGCAGGTAAATCTTTCTGGAGTCCTGCTTTTGCAGGACTCTGCTGTACCGGAGCTCAGACACTGGCCTTGGGCTCCATCTCGGAGTGGCGACAGGCAGACCCTTCTTCGTGGGTCACCCCGTCACAGAGGAAGAGAGTTTCAACTTCTGGTCTTACAGATATTTTGGGGTTCTATACATGTGCAGGGAGGCTGCTCCAATGCACTGTTATAATAGTGCCTTGGAGCATGGTAATTATTGTGCTTTGGCAGACTAGCGTCATGTGTGTATCAGCGTCCCTGAACTGAAAAATGGTGGCAGGGCACTTTAAACTAAAGCTCATTTGATGAGCTTTAGTTCAAAACACACTGCTTCCATTTTCAGCGTGGGGATGCTGATACACATGACGTTCCGGGTGCTTTAGGTAATGTGGCTCTTGGAGCTACTCTAATTAAAGTGCCCCTCCTCTGCTCCCTGCCTCCCAGAGTGTGTCTATAAATGCACTTTATTACTGAAAAGCATTTCATATTTGGCTCCTAGAAGGAGCCACACACTTTTGCACTTTCGTCTTTTGTTTTAACACCTTTATAAAAGATTAAAAAGTCAAGTCTCTCTCTCTCTCTCTTCCCCCCACCCCCATGCAGGCTAGTAGGCTGCCCATATTCTGAAGTTAACCTCAATAGGGAGAGCTCATTACAGGATCGCCTGAGTGGGGAGAGGCCTTCATCCAGCAATAGCATTCAGAAATCCAAGAGACCAGAGACTCCTATACCATTCGTAGACCCTCAGGAAGACTCTCCGCTATCCAGGTGAGGCTGGCGTTGTCATTTTGCTTATTGGAACTCTGCTAATAATACCTATGTTATGCATTATTTCAGAAGACTGAAAGACCTGGCATTTTACAGAGAAGTAGTTAAAGCACTAGCTTTATCTCGGTAGGCTATTGCCCCATATCCTGAATAACCCCAGTATAGAACAACACACTTATACACTCCTTACATGCCTTAATAGATTTCTTTCCTCTTTAATCCTATTGCCCTGGTCAAATTCCAGCAAAGGAAATTACATTCTACCTCTATAAATTTTCCCTTGCCCTTTCTGTTGAGTTACAGGAGTTCTCTTAGTTTCCTGTCCTAAAACTGTCAGGCAGGATTTCTGTGCACTACTGCTGCATTCCACCCCAGATTTGTCTGCTTTTCTTCTGGTTGGTAAAATAATGTTGCTATGTAGAGCCCAATGAATTTCAACCAGGGTGCTGCAGCACTCTTGAGTGCCTTGAGACCCTTTTAAGGGGGATGTGGGGTAGCATGCAATGCGAGGACTCTTAAGCGTACAAACCTGATTCATCAGATAAACCCAGAGATTTCAAATAAAAATTCATAGTGTCAAAAACATTCTGCCCTGTTGTGGTCTTTCTGAGTTCTTTGCAGCAGCAGAATTGCTCTATTATTTTTCTATAGTAAAAAATGTGAAAGCTAAAAGTTGGTATCTTCCAAAGGGTGTTGTGAGTCTGAAAAGGTTGAGAACTCCAGATATAGCCTGCTGTGTAGTTTGAGAATCTTCAGGTTAGCAGATCTGAATTTCAGCTGTTGCTGAGAGTTGAGTATCATTGAGGAAAATTTATGCATCAACATCTTGGATGCAGGGATCAGCCAAAATATATTACTAAGCCAAACTGGGAATTAAGAGTTGTATTGCATTACATGCCTATGGAGCCATAGATAAAGATGTCAGCAAGGTGCATTCCAGCCACACTGTTTGTGTATCTGTTATTTGTTCCCCTTTGCTCCACTTAGACTTTAAAAAGGTCAGGGCATCTTTAGTAAAAAGAGGACTTGTCCTTTGCATGCTTTGGCCAAATTTTCCTTTCTCTCCCAGAAGTGTGCTTTGATCCTACTTGGCATCCTCAGCCCCAGAGGTGTCTGTGTTTCAGTGGTTCTGTACATCTCTTTTCTGGAATCCTAGATTACAAAATACTTTACAGATGTGATGTATTGCTGTTTTAAATACTTAATTTTCTGATAATGGGAAATTTGAATTCTACGGTGCAAATTGTAGAGTGCCCCACTGCCTCCCCTTGCCTTGCACACCTGCTGCAGCTCACTCTATGCACCACACTTAGTCCTGGAAAGTCTTTTAAATGTTACCCAAAGGTATCAAAGTGTAAAAAGCCTTAAATCTTTTGTTGCACTAAAACGAATGCTTCAGTGCATTCCTGGCTGATGCTAAGATCAGAGCCTCAGCCGCAGAGGCTAATTTCTTTCACCTAATCAGCACTAAAGACTAAAGCATAAAGCATTGTGTACTGCATCAGTAATCATTAGAAGGGAGAATACATTTTAAACCACTAGATGGTGCCTGGGAGCTATTATTACTCAAATTTTCTTTACAAGTAAAACAACAATCAACATTCCTCTTTCTGCGGGGAGGAAAGAGGTGCCTTCCAGTTTACTGAACCTGTCTTATTGTCTCTATAGAAAATCTTCTGTGCAAGATGCTGAAAGATCTGGTCGAAGCAGTGTCCATAGTCTGTCGGAGCAGTCCGAAAACAGTCAGGCAAAAGACTGGATGGAAGAGCAGTCGTCTGCAGATACCAAAGTGAAACAAATAAAGTAAATAAGACTTTGCAGCATGTTTTAATGCACCAGCAGTTACATTTCCACTACTGCAGCCCTCTCTGAAATAAGGGAGGGAAGCAGTGGCCCTGTAAAACATCCAGGTGCCACACAGTTTGCAATTTTGTGTGATTGAAATAATAAGTAACAACATTTCTCACTTCTTTGGGAGACAGTGGGTGCATCTACACATGCGCTTTACTGCAGCGATGACTAAGCTCCTCAGCAAAGTATCACTGTCTATGCATGCACCCCTATCAGGGCACAATAAATTAATTAAGTACTGTATGGGACAAGTACTATCCTATGGTGGAGTTCAGCATGCCAAAATACACATGTAGATGGTGACCAGGGCTGGATGGGTCAGGAGGGTGCTACAGTACAGGGGCTGCCTGCCAGCTAGCCCCACACTGTAGCAGTCGTTCCCCACAGCATGTTGACCTGGGGAGGAGCGGTCCTGGGCTGGCAGACTGATTTCCCCGCCCCAGGTCGTCTGCCAGCCAGGGCTGTTCTGCTTGGGCTCAGTGTGCTGTGTTCCCAGGCACAGCATTTATACTGGAGTTTTGCTCTGTGCTAATTGCATGTGACGATGCATCCAGTGTCTTTCCATTGCTTGTGGTGTACTTAAATCCACATTCTTTGCTGTGCATTTAGCAGTATAACCCTGCTAAAAAGATCTGGAAAGGGGTGAAAGGAGAAATAAGTGGTGTTATTGCCAATTTTAAGAGGAAAAAGATCTTGGGACTCTTAAATGAATCCTGTTAATGCTCCATGTAGAGGAGCATTGATCTCTGTGGTCTGTGCCTTATTACATTTATAAAACTGTTTTATATTTTCAGGCTTGGTTCCCAGCATGCCTATATAAAGTTCCAGCTGGTGAAGCAGGAAGACTATGGAAATGGTTGGTTGAATTTTTTTTTTTTGCTTGTGTGTTTCACTTATCAAACCTATCAGACTACTTGTTACCATATTGTTTTTTTAAGTCTGCTTCCTTACTCAGGTGAATTATGTCAGAAATGTCAAATGTGTGCTACACTCTAGATCTCTCTTACCTTTCTTTCCTCACACTCTCAGTTAAATTAATTAATCAATTAGACTTCATGCTTTAGGCTACCTAGAAACATTAACCCCCACCCCCCAGAAAATGGCACTTAAAACTCGGAGCGCTCCCACACTGAGCCCAGCTTATATCCAGAAGAGGCATCATGTTAATTGGACCCAGGTCACCCAACGTCTGTATAGACCAGGTGCTTTAGTGGGGCTTTTTTGGCACGTTTATGTAATAGCTGATTCTATCAGGTATTGGATAAAAGCTCCAAAAAGCCCCACTAAAGTGCCTGATCTATACAGATGCTGCAGGGTCAGGTCAAACTAATGTGCTGGTTCTTCTGATAAAGTGTGGGGTATTTTTAGGTTTTTTTTTTAATGTCTGTAAACAGCTTTAGAGTGTTATGTCTTCATGCAAAATGTTAGCAAGAAAGGAAATTTTCCCTGTGGATGTACTCTCTTCCTTCTTTGAAGAAAACAATCTCTAATGGTGAGGGGGGTTTGATTTCCTTATTCAGTCATCAGCTTCTGTGCTCAGGCAGCCAAAAGGGGGGCCAATTGCTACTCTTTATTGTGGTCCTAGCTTTCAGGTGAACATCTGTTTGTGAGAGCTGGACTAAGGCCCACCAAGCCCCTTCCTATGAAGCACATCAGGCAGTCTTCATATGGCAGCAGTTTAGAATTGCTTCAGTGACTTTTTTTTTTCCAGGCATTTAAAACTCTCCTAATATCTAGAAAGCAAGAGAGTATCAGGGCAGGGCAGAAAGTGGAATGTTTCCTCTGGAACACAGTCAGTTAATCTTAAAGTGGTTCTCACTGGATATATTTTGGCAAACCACATGTTTAACTTTCAGCTTTACTATAAAAAGCCAGTTCAGATAACCAAGCTGACCCAGCTTTTAGTAATAAGTCTCCAATCCAAAATAGCTAAGCAGGAACAAATTGGGGCAAGTGCCTGCCTTTGGTCTTAATTCATTTTTACTTCCTGCTCATTTTTGTGGTCATGGTTACATAACCTTTCCAGGTATGGCAGCACAGCAGCAGTAATGTTTGTTCTAGCCTTAAGGGAAAAAGTGTACCTGTTCCACTTACACTCATCTTAAACAGAATCGTGAATATTACAGAGAAAATGCTAATCAGCCATCTGCAGTCATCCGCTGGCCTCTCAGTACACTGGCATACAGTGTATTGTTCCCGGCTTTTGTCTCATCTAACTTTAAATAATTAGAACAGTAGGGCTTTCACCACTCGTCAGTTGTGAAATAACCGCCACAAATCACAGTTAGAAGCTTTCCAACAATAGTCAGTTTAAGCAAAGAGAAAATTGTTTTGATAATTCCTAGTGATTATCCCCCTGAGCAGTTCCTGCTCCTTGGTGGTGTTTACAGTGCTTCACAGCCACTTATAAATTTAGGAGCAAACATGTACAGGTTCCCTTTACCTTGCCATGCACCCAAGATAATGAAAGGTATAATGAAAAGTGTAAAAGTTTAACAGCAGTGAAGACAGAAGAGACAAAAGGGTGAAGTAACAGGCTGTTTGAAATGAGTGAAAAAGAAATAATGAGGGGGAAATAGTGGGCACAACAGAAAAATTTAAAAAGATGCCAGAAAAATAAAGGATTGTTCACAAATCTGAGGAACTTCAATCTCTCACTTGTAAAGTTTTCAAGAATTTAAGTGAGAAGAGTGAGTCTGGATTATTTTTAACAAAGTGTCATGCTGCTCATTATGTTAATAGGTTTTGAAACATATTACATATTACTTTGCATTTTAAGGTGTTAGCATGAATCTTATGGTCTTGGAAGCTGAAGCTGGATAGAACCTATTAGTCTCCCCCTTCTCCCCATCAATGGTCTCTACAGGATTATCCCCAAAATCTAATCTGTGCTTTGCTTGTCTAGAAATTTAAACTTTTTCCAAAGTGTAGTGCTTTTAATATGCGCCTTTCTGGAGGTTATTCCACAGTCCCTGAAGGAAGAGGTGTAGTTATGACTATAAATAGTTTCCCCTTTCTCACCTCAGAAAGGACATAAACCAGGCTCTTTATAGTTTGGGTTGGTTACTTCTTGCACAGTCCTCTACCTTATGGAGTATTTTTTTTTCCTTTCAGCATTTTCCCCTTATATGAAAAGAAATTCTTAGTCGCTGTTGGACCTGCCTTTATTTTTGTATCTTTCCCCTTTGGTCTCTGTATCTAATAATGAAACCAGTATCAACTGGTACTGGGCTATGTTCTACATCCTGCACTGTTTTCCCATGGTCTGGGAAAAAGGCTTGGAGAGCTCAGAAGCTTGCCATTTCTCCTGTTAATCCATCTTTTTCGTAGTGATTTTTCCCCTGTAGTCTTCTGTCCTTCAGTGGATTTTCCAGTGCAGTATATGGTCCCTAAATGTATTTGCTGACCCTTCTGCTTCCCTGCAGCTTTAAAATGTAGTTGGAGGCACAGTACTGAGACCATCATGCATTGATGTTGCGTTATAAGGTTTGATTCATAATTTTTTATCAGTCTGTCTTGGCATCACTGAAAAGGCAGAAAATGTCTACCCTCTTCTGCTTCTTCCTTTCGTCTTGTGGGTGGTGGGAGGAAGGGAACACCTAGCACTCTGACATTGCAAAAACATTTCCTGAAAGTTGCCTCATGAAGTGGGCAATGCAGGGATTATGTGTGTGATCTGTATTCTGCCAGGCTAGCCCAAAGGCAAGGCAAAAAGAAAGGAGTACTGATTAGACCCCAGGACGCTATGAGAACTGAGAGGTTAAAAAGGTACACTGGAATAACTTCAAAGTGTTAACATGAATCTTATCATCTTGGAAGTTGGAATTGGACAGACCCTGTTAGTCGTGTCCCCCCCCGCCCCCCCCGGAATTGCCTGAGCATATACAGCTTGTTCCTCCTAGGGTATTAATTGATTTCAGCCTGAGTAGCAGAGAATGCAAGTCATCACCATCTGAAGACAAGCAGTAAGTGCTGCATGAAGTCCAAAGTCTCTTCTAGTCAAAAGTAGTCTATTCAGAATGGGGTGGGATACATTGGCTGGGCAAAGGAAGGGAAGCTGCATTTCTTCTGTGGATAAATGCAGGAGTTTAATTCCTAGCACACCCAGAACTGTGCAGGGAAGATTATAGGAACACCAGGACTTATCTGGGTCCTTGGCCTCTCGCATCTGGCATATGGCCCTAAGAGAAGACTGCAGCGAAAAGGTGCCCAGAGGCAGTGCCCGGTACAAGTAGAAATAGCCAAAGCAAGATACTCTGGACATCCTGAAAACTGTTTACTCTGCAACCCTCTCCCCATCTGTTTTTTTTTTCATATCAGTTTGACTCCCACACTCTCACCCTCATCCCTTGCCTTTCTATTTAGCTGATCCCCTCCTAGCTAAACCAAACCCTCAAGAATCATGGAACAGTCTGCTTCCTGCCATGACATTGCTCCTTCTGCATGTCATTTCTGCCCCTCTCCACAGTCCTTGGACAGGGTCTGTCTCCCACTCTGCACTTGTACAGAACCTAGCACTAACGGGCCCTGTTCATGTCAGCCCTTAGGCACTACCCTAATAATTTTTGCTTTATGTTTATTAGTCATGTTTTTGGCTGGGGAGGAAGACAAGGATGAAAACTATTTTATACCCTGCTTTTATTTTCTTGCCTATAAAGTAGCAAAACATAATTCTTCATTGCCACATGGTGGCACCATATAACTTGATCATTTCACAGGAAGCATTCTAGCATTTAGAAATGCCTCCTTTTTGTGTCTTTTGGAGGGGGAGGAAAGAGGATGAGAAACATTAACTATTGAAAACATAAGAACGTGCTCCATGCTGTTTCTGTCTTTTGCTTCACTTCCTGTTGTATGACCAGACAAACCCCTATCGGATCATGATTCTGCACTAATCAAATGATCTCATTTGGGAGGGAGCTAGCTTTCTTTTATAAAACCAGCATCATTTGACAAATGGAAAACAATAGTGGTGTCTGGGGGGAACCGCCAGCCTTACAGGCCTTAGCTTCTCTTAGTGGGGGCAGGGAGGTATTTGGCACAGGCCATCAGCTGGCATGCGTAGTTGGTTACTCGCTGTGAACTGGAATGGTGCCGTTTATTTCCAGCTGAAGGTGCTGTTACCAGAACTCTTCCACCTTGTCAGTAAAAAGCAAACATCTTCTGTCAGCAGCATGACATCATTTTCCCTAGAAGCAGCTAATAATAAAGCCTTCAGCCTGGCAACCTTTCTGTTTTGTTTTGTTTTGTTTTTCTCTTTTCTTTTCCTTTCGGGGGGGGGGGGGGGCATGCTATGGGAACGGGGTCCCATTCCACACCACA